ATAAAAGGAATGATTCTCATGAAAAAATTTCACCAAATGGCGCAGCATTTGATGTCTATAGATGATTGGCACCATATTATCACCAAAAAAAAATTCATATAATTATTGATTAAGATAAGATTCTAAAGTACTTGTCCCAAGATTTCCCTATTTTCTAATACTAAAATACTATCACTATCTAAAACTTGCAATTCTCCTGATAATTCTGAGTCTATAACAATATAATTCTCGACAATGTGTAATATTTGACCAATTTTTCGTAATTCCATATCTAGTGTTATTTCTACATTTGGTTTACTTATTATTATGTCTACAATTTCATTTTTAGTTCTTAATGGTGATTTTGAATATGGTAAATCCTCTTCGTCTTCGTCTTCATCTCTATAATCGTCGTCATCGTTTACTTTTTTGTTACTATTTACAACTTCTATAACAATTCCATTCTTTTCACATTCATCTAATCCTGACATTTTTAAAAAAAATTTCCACGATGTTACACGATTGAATTTCAGATTAACTAAAATAACAAGTACAGCTCACTCTCTCTATAACGGCCCTTTCTATAATGTCCTCCATTCTATAACGCACTGGGAATCAGAACCCAAATTTTTATTATATAAAAACCTTACTCTGTAACGGTTTTCTTAATTAAATTTCCTATAGTGTATAACAGCCTGCCTCTGAAAATTCTCATATGTTTTATATGTTGTCTATAACGGTCGACGATCATGAACTATGGTAATCGTTACCAAATTAAGAAAGCCAGGGTGTCACGCTCAATTATTAAATATTAAGGGTAGAGTGTAGTCATGTGATTTTATATAATGATCGGCGAGGATAAATAATTCCCGAACCTCTTTTAAATCACTTGCTTCATACGCAGCTACACCAAAAACTAGTTTTCGTGAGACGAAATTAACACAAAATCCATTTTCACCATATATACAATCATATAGTAATAAAAAAATTTTTTATTGTTAGATGGTTATTTCAAAAAAAATTGTAAAGTTAGGGACATTTTGCTAATCACTAATAAAACATATAAAATTTTCTATAATGTATTAATAAAATAAATAGAAATAATAAATTTTAAGTGAATAATAACCATATTATTAAATACCAAAAGAAAATTGCCTGTTTTTAATCAAGGTACGTGTAAGTGATATTAGTTTTATGTAATTTGGATCATTAAAAACATTTAAAAATAGAATTTTTTGAAAACAACTATATAGATGAGTTGAGGGATGGTAATAGAAGTAAATAACAAGATAGAAATATATCTCCGCCTATTCTACATACAGTCAACCCCCTCTAAGTGCACCCCCCTCGGGAATGAGTGATAGCGTGCACTTAGAGGGGGTGTGCACTTAGAGAAACAAAGCATTTCATTGGTTGCACGTGATAACAATAAGAATAAAAAAATTTATTAAAATTTATTAACGTATTTATTATAATTAATCAATTATAACATTATGTTATGGTGCCGATCATCTAAAGACATCAAAATTTCAGCTAAACTTTAAAATGTATAAGCTCAATAACTAAGCAGGATTAAAAAAAAAACTCTCTATAGTTCGATTTTATAAGATCTAAGGAAAAATCTAATAGAGTTTTTTTAAAATTAATCAAAATGAAAAAAGTTATGGCAGTTTAAAGTTTGTCATTTTTACTATTAAAAAAAAAAATTCACCGCCGATCATTACGCGATTTACAGAATATTTTCGCGTTATAAAGAATATTCACGTGATTCACGTGATTCGTGAAATTCCATTAAAACAGATTCGGGAACTCTTCTATGAGAATGATATTTTTTAACCGCAAAAATAGCTGCTTTACCAGAAAGTCTCATCCTATAGGCACTCATAAACCTATAGCATCTTCTTGCAAATTTACGAATTTTACAGAGAGAGACAGAATTAAGGGCTAATGGTACAGTTTGTTGTAAACCTTCCCAAGAATAATTACAGTTTTTTCTTGTATAGTTTTTGGCAGCCCCCCAAAAACTTTCAATGTAATTTAGCTCGCAATGGTATTTAGGAAAGAAAATAATTTTATGTCCTGCATTCTCAACAATCTCTTGTAAAAGAGGCCTTTGCTCCATAAAATCTGGTTCCAATGATATAATTTTAAATGCACAGCATTCTACCTGATCAGAGGGTTCATTGTTTCTACAACTTCTACACTTTCTCATTAGACCAGGTCTCCATAAACCTCTCTCTTCTAAAACTATTTTCATTCCCTTTGGCTCTCCATTTTCAAGGACCATAGACTGACATGTACCATCCCTTTTTCTTCCATTACGCATCTTTGGCTGTCCTCCACCAGAACTTAGATTCATTCTTGAAGCAATCAATGCATCTACAGCATAAGAAGTATGGCAAGAACTTTGATCGAATGCAAAAACACCAATACAATTTGGATGCATTTTCTCAAATATTGGAATTGCTCTCTCTTGTAACTAAAAACAAGATAAGTATTAATTGATATATTATATGAAATGAAATAAAATAAAATAAAATAAAAAAAAATAAATTCCTGTCTAGCCAATTTATTATTGTTCCAATATTCATCTCT